AATTTTCCCCACGTGAACTTCCATCGTTTCAATCACGGAATAAACACGCGAAGCAACAACTTACGTTTAATTGTACCGAAAGTTAAGACAGAGGCCGGTAGAAAGTCGTTCTCCGTGCAAGGAGTTTTGCTGTTTAATTCACTAAGCGAGGAAATAAGGAATGAGAACTCGTATATTAACTTTAAAAGAAAAGTTGAATCTTTTAACTTTAGTTCGCCGTAATTGTGAACATTTTCGTAATATTGTTAATGTATGTTTAGTGATCATGTTTTGTACATTCTATGTCATAAGAAAACAATCTTAGTTAAATACTTAATTAATTTTAGCATAAATACAGGTCCTTCATTGATAGCAGGCGGTACACTGCCTGAAGAAGTCAACCTGTCTAAATATGTTAATTAATAATATATATAATAAAGTAGATTGCATCAAGGTGCAATGCGACTCAGTTGGTTAACTAGACACATGGGCAAATAGGCCAGTTAACCCATTAAGCGCCAGCGCTCTCCCCTTGACGAGTAAAATTGTCTGGCATTAGACAGAGTAAAATACTAAAGTAGATTGCATCAAGGTGCAATGCGACTCAATTGGTTAACTAGACACATGGGCAAATAGGCCAGTTAACCCATTAAGCGTCAGCACTCTCCCCTTGACGAGTAAAATCGTCTGGCGTTAGACAGAGTAAAATACTAAAGTAGATTGCATCAAGGTGCAATGCGACTCAATTGGTTAACTAGACACATGGGCAAATAGGCCAGTTAACCCATTAAGCGCCAGCGCTCTCCCCTTGACGAGTAAAATCGTCTGGCGTTAGACAGAGTAAAATACTAAAGTAGATTGCATCAAGGTGCAATGCGACTCAATTGGTTAACTAGACACATGGGCAAATAGGCCAGTTAACCCATTAAGCGCCAGCGCTCTCCCCTTGACGAATAAAATCGTCTGGCGTTAGACAGAGTAAAGTAGGGTGCATCAGGGTGCATCGCCACTCAATTGGTTAACTAGACACATGGGCAAATAGGCCAGTTAACCCATTAAGCGCCAGCGCTCTCCCCTTGACGAATAAAATCGTCTGGCGTTAGACAGAGTAAAGTAGGGTGCATCAGGGTGCATCGCCACTCAATGGGTTAAAATATAATATTGCCTAAAACAAAGTTTGAATTGCATAATACACAACAGTGGGAATTGTTACATGGGTTCTGGTTATAATACTTCTAAATGATACAACTTACACATTTGCTATCTAGTCCCTGAACTAGATCCAACAATGAAGTCTCCAATGTAGTTTTTGCCAGGTCTTTGCTAGTACTCGGTTGCTGAATAAGGGCAATCTCATTCAATTGCATTTGTCTCGTCATGCAGTATGGTGCGATTACAGTTTGGAAATGTCCAACTATCTCCTCATCAGTTACTGCCGATGTTAATTGGGCCATCTGTAACACAAAGGAAATTATTGACTGCACAGTAAACATAAAATGACAACATAACATCTTAATTAATCCTTTAAACATATTTCCACATGCAAGCTATTTTTTATAAGTAAAATCATCGACAAGAGTAAAATACGGTACTATTTCAAAATGAAGTGGTCATGTTTTCACATTTGAAAAAGAAGTGTCAAATATAGTTTGTTACAACCACCTTGTTAATACACTTATTGCTCTTCATTATAACCACACATTTTTTGTCCCCAAAAGATCATATGTCAAGTTAACATAACTAAAATAACATTACTTTTCTTGCAACTAGGAGACCACAAGACAACATTTTAGTCATTCTTGACCCTTCTGTTGAAGCTCCACAGGTATCTGTGATGATGGTGCTGCACTCCCTCCTGAAAGCGAGTCCTTCTGGTGCATTTATCCACTGGCCTATCTTTATCACGTTTCCAATCATACTGGACACTTCATCAAGAATCTTATAGAAGTTTTGACTCCAGTTCTCTGCATTTGCCACTTTGTTCATGATCTTACTTCTTGGAGGAACAGGTATTATGAGAAGACGATCTAGAAAACTTGTATATTTATGTATAATTAGAGAGTGCTCAATTAATGAACGTACATGTATATGTATGTATATTTTGGGTAACCTGAAAATATTGTGTTTGCAAATGTACTGTAAAGCAAGTACAATATCCCTTGGCTGACAACTTTCTGCCTCCCCAAATGTTTTTTAAAGAGGATTGCTGTGTTGGTGTGCAGTCAAAATAGGGTTATCATCATCATCTAG